GAAACCATGTAGGCAAGAAGTCAATGGAATGACATATATAAAACTCTGAAAGAAAATAATTGCCAACCGAGAATCATATATTCAGCAAAACTGTCCATCAAATATGACAGCGAAATTAGGTCATTTACAGACAAACAGAAATCAAAAGAATTTGTAAAAAAATAGACCAACTTTACAAAAAATACTAAAGGGAGTTCTTTGAACAGAGAATAAACAACAACAGACAACAACTTGAGACTAACATATACGACAATCTCATCTAGACTCAACCCAGATAAAGAAGTATGCAGAGTTAAACAGACCTGTAAGACTGTAGAGAACCAGAAATACAGTTGCAACACCAACAACAATAAACCAAAAAGTAAAAAGAGGGAATAATCCAATTATAGAACTCTCAAATGAAGAGGAAATCAAGTAAATTTCAAGAAAAAATTTTAAAATTAAAATAAACCTAACTGTAACCCTGACAAGTAGACCAAGCCTTACTCCTAGCCCTAGTACAACCCTCACCCCTAGCACTAACCCTAATAATAAATAAAAGCCTAGCTCTAGCCAAGACCTAGCCACTCTAACTTCTACCCATACACCCCCAAAAGCAAAGATATGATTTTAAGACTAAGGTACACCTAACCCAAGCCATGTTATTTCATTCACCTTATATGCATGGGAAAGCTAAACAATGAAAAAAGAAGACTGAAGAAGGACTGATGTCTTTTAATTATGGTGGTGATGAAGAATATTGAATATGCTATGGAATGACAGGGTGAACAAATCTGCGTTGGAATAAGTACAGCCAGAATGGCCCTTAGAAGCAAGCATGGCAAAACTTCATCTCTCATGTGTTGGACATGTCAACAGTAGGGACCAGTTCTTGGAGAAGGACATCATGCCTGCCAAAGTAGAAAGTCATTAAAAAAGAGGAAGACCCTCAACAAGATGGAATGACACAATGGCTGCAGCAATGGGTTCAACAAACTCAGGAACAACTGTGAAGCTTGTACTGGGCCAGGTAATGTTACATTCTGTTGTATATAAGGTCACTGTGCGACTGAACAGACTCAGTGGCACCTAACAAAAACAACTCTCATACTTAGTAGCCAGAGGAACACAAAGCTGTAATAATTCAAAGCAAAGAATGCCAATCAGTTAGCACTATGCAATAAAGTCTTTCCTGTTAATTGAGTAAAAAATGTTCATATAAAAATGTGTAGACTGTGATGCTGTAGGACAACCACTGGACTGCTCATCGCAAGGTTGATGGTTCAAACTCACCAGCTGCCCCTCAGGAACCCTGTACAGGGTTGCTATGAGTCAGAACTGACTTGAGGACACTTAGCAAAGTCACATCACACTGTGAGACACTCAATACCAAATTTTAAACAATGATTCACATTAAGTTAATTCTGACTGGTAGTGATCTCATATGTGTCAGAGTAGAAATATGCTCCATAAAGTTTTCAATGGTTGATTTAGCAGTCCTGGTGTGGCGCTGGACTGCAAGGTCAGTTTGAACTGCAAGGTTGGCAGTTCAAGCTCAACAGCCGCTCCTTAGAACTCCTATATAGGGTTGCTATGAGTCGGAACTGACTTGACAGCACTTAACAACAACAACAACACTGTGGTGCTGTGGGTTAATACGCTGGACTGTAAGGTCAGTTTGTACTACAAAGTTAGCAGTTCAAGCTCACCAGCTGCTCCTTGGAATACCTATACAGGGTCACTATGAGTGAGAACCAACTCAACAGCACTTTACAACAACAACAATATTGGTAGAAATGAAGATACAATCTCAAGAGAAATGCAGATTTTGATGCAGTAAGTAATATTTTCCATTTCTGTGGTTACCTCTAAGTACAAACCTGAATCTGTGACTGAGTATCAAATACAGTAAGTACCTTGTCAGGATGGTTTGGTTTCAGGAAGACCTGAGGGAGCCGTAAGCGAACTGCTCATCAGTGAGCTGGGCCACGGCTCCACAAGAGGCCTCAAGGGACCCTAACACGGGGATTGATCCATTTTGCTATCCAGCTAGGTTTAAAATGAGCCATCTCAGAAGCAGAAAGAAGGGGATTGCACTATTGTTAAGAAAGAAGAGCCAGGAGTGAAGTGCACCATCTAGATTCCTGTTCTGAAGCTCCTCAGTCCTGGAGGCAGTTTGGACACAAGAGATGACAAAAGATGACAGAGAAATGACAGCAGCAGAAGCAGAGGAACCAGGACACTGGTAGAAGCTACATGGGTTTCCAGGCCTATCACTGGTGTTCAGTGTTGTCATAGTGACCCTGTATGGGGTTTCTGAGGAGTGAGAAAATTGAGTGCCTTCAGGCAGCAGGCTTACTGGTGGAGTAGATATTTATCAGGAAAACGAAAGAGCTTTGAAACATTTGCCTAAGTAGAGGGGAGGCCGAGAACCAGAGAGGTATGTCTGTGGGCAAGGCTGAGAAAAGGCCGTCCTGATAAAACAACTGTACCCTGAGCAGTTCTGATCTTGAATTGCAACCTGTTAACTTCTCTAACTGGAGTCCTAGTGTGACGCTGTAGGATAAGCACTATACTGTGAACCACAAGGTCAGCAGTTCAAATCCACCAGCCACTCCTTGGAAACACTATACAGGGTAGCTATGAGTCAGAAACAACTTGATGGCACTTAACAACAACAACTTCTTATAATTGTGAGTTTCATTTGACCATTGAAATGAATTCTTGAACTCAGCAGAGAAGTAGACATTGCTATAGGAGAAGTGTTTGGTGTCAGAATTAGTGAAAAGGTTGGAAGGTGGAAACAATGTCTGACCATCACGTCACAGGGATCAACCCCGGGCTGCTGATGCTTTTGATTCTCCTCCTCCCACCTTGTGAAGATTACATGGAGGCCAGACGCTGCCCCCACGCCATTCTTTTCTGTGGAATTAAATAAAATGGGATGAAGTCTTTGCCAAGAGCAAATAAGTGGTTTCCTATTTTAAAAGCTGTGAATTGAAGTACATCTCTGAAGATCCTTAGGAGCACTGGGGTTCTAAGATTATAAAAGTGGTGTGGTGCTGTACGATAAAATACTGGAATGCAAGGTTGTTTGAACCTCAAGGCCAGTGGTTCAAACTCACCAGCTTCTCCTCAGAAACCCAATGCAGGGTCTCTGTGCGTCGGAACTGACTTGACAGCACTTAACAACAAGAGCAAATCCAAAATTTCTCCCAGCTCATTTCAAACTCAACACAAGTTCTGAATCTCAGGTGCCAATTACTGTCCTAAGCATAGAGGAAATAAAGATGAATAAAATACTGTTTCTGCCCTTGGAGGAATAAGTATGCAGATGATTGCACATTTTTTTCTATGATGAATAGAAAATAGAATGCTGACAATACTTAAATAAATTTAAATTAATGTAACATGCAAGGGCTACAGTGTAATCTGTCTACAAATATAACACTAATAATAGCAGACTGATGTGGCGGTGTGGGCTAATGCATCAGACTGCAAAGTCGTTTGAACTGTAAGGGCAGTGGTTCAAGCTCATCAGCTGCTCCTTGGAAACCTTATACTGGGTCGCTATGGGTGGGAATTGACTCGATGGCACTTACCAACAACAACAACAGTAGATTATTATTATCTAGTCAGGTCATCATACTTTAAAACATTCCTGTTTATAAATGAAAAAATTAAAATGTGTGATATGCTAAAATATTTATACTTACTTAGGTACAAATTTCTCTTGGTAGATATGGTGCAATGAATTGCTTGAAATAGCTAAAATAGAAGCTATCCAGAGAAGGATATGCAAAATGAACAAATGGGAGAAATCTTGAATAATTTACTTTGTCTCTCTGAAATTTATCCATAGAAGCTGATTCTAACTAGATAATCTTAAAGTGCTTCCCTTATCTGATACTCCATCATTCCACTCCCTAATAGTGTTCATTCATTCATTTATTCAGTAACCATTGAATGAATCATCCTTAATTGAGATACCCTGATGACCAGATCATTGCTATGTTGACTAAGCTAATCCACAGCATCTCCAAGCCTTAACTAAAATGAATGAGACATAGATCCTGCCATCAGTGTGTACAAAACCTAAAAGAGGAAGAAAGATAAGGAAATACTCGTCGACCATAAAGACCTAGCCTACAAGAAACATGTACAGTAAAGTCAGCACATGCGAATCATAATCAAAATGAACCATTAACATTTTTGAAAGCACACACATAGTAGACGATTTTTTCTTATGGATATGTCCTCCTAGGTCCAAGAAGTTGATCACAGTCAGTTTTTCTGTTCTGGCATCCTTTTCTAAACAAGTTTTGTGTGTGTGTCCACAATGAAAATCTGCTCCGGTAGATTCTTCATTGTGTATTATCTTGTCCACCTCATCCTAGAATTTTCCAGCAGCTTCAATATTGGTATTCCCTGAGTCTCCCCAGCTTCCCTTATGTTACTGTTGTTGTTAAGTACCATGGAGTTGGTTCCGACTCATAGTGACCCTGCACAGGGTTTCCGAGGCTGCAAATCTTTACGGGAGCAGAAGGTCTCATCTTTCTCCTGTGGAACTGCTGGTAGTTTCGAACTGCCGACCTTGAGGTTAGCAGCCCGATTCGTAACCACTACACTACCAGAGCTCCTTACATTATGTGAGTGAAATCTGCATTGAAGCGGTGAAACCAGACCTTGCTGGCATTAAAATACTTGGGGTAGTCTCCTTGCTATTTCTGCAGGTTTCCAAAAAGGCTGTGTGCTTTCATTTGAATCATCAGTAAACAGAATCCGCTTCTGGATTTGGTCTTCTCCAACTCGTGGATTGGCCCTTGCCTCTTCTTTGTTAAAATTGTCAGTTTTATGCCACTGGCTCTTTTAACTGCCTTAAAACTCTCTTCTTATCCTTAATGACTGTCCAAATGGTCAAATGGGACAGTCCTTTTTCACATAATTTCACCAACTTTCTTTCCATTACAATAAGTCTTATTGATCTTCATCTTTATATTCAGGTCTAGAGCCTTCCTTACCATGCTTTCGGGATTAAAACTTTCAGTGGTACAACTCCTTTTGCTCGACATATTGGTGGGGTATAAACAGTGCGGATGTTACAGTTAGAGAAACTTGGGTAAGTCAGCTTCAAATTAACAGCTGATGCTTTATATGATATGAAATGCTGAATAAGACCACACTATAGGCCTGATCTACAATGAAGTCAGCATCAGCATTTTTTAAACAAATGAAGCCAGAATTGCAATGGCTGTTGGCCTTGTGCACAGTTCAACTTTTGCATGTTGTTATAGTTTAACTTAGCCCAACTTTTGATCCATTGCAACTCCATCAACGACACTGACTTCATTTGTAGACCAAGTCATAGCCTGCTATATACCACAATGTTTTAAACAGTAAGTCATAAAACTGAACATCTGTGAGTAAACATCTGAGAATGATAGAATTAGCAAATTATGTTCTGCAACACTGCATGTTAAACGTATTACTAACAGTAAAATGTGCAAAAAAAAAAAAAAAAGTGGGGGGGATAGTCTGAAGTGCAGTTCATCATAACTTGAGTATTTCATAAGTCAGGGACTACCTGTGTATTGCAATTCTGCTTTAAATCATAATAAGTACAATAGAGCATATACAGTTGAGTGATGGCATGGAAGGATTCATTCACCACCTTCAAGGAATGAAGGAAGGCATATAGAGAAAGTGGAATACTAGTGACAGCTCTGAGCAAATGAACAAGCATTCATCAGGTAGAAGAGAGAAAGAAGGGGATTCAGTAAGAGAAACAACAATTGCATTAATATACCAAAATAACTCACTGCTGTTGAGTTGATTCTGGCTCTTAACGACCCTTTAGGACAGAGAACTGACCCTTAGGGTGTCCAAGACAGTAAATCTTTATGGAGGCAAACTGCCACTTTTGTGCCCCGTGCAGCGGCTTAGCGGGTTCAAACAAATGACCTTTAGGTTAGCAGTTAAGAGCTTTCACCATTGTACCACCAGGGCTATTTTGAGTCAAGATGGTTGTTGTTGTTAAGTGCTGTCGAGTTGGTTCCAACCTATAGTGACCCTGTATAGGGTTTCCGAGGAATGACTGGTGAGCTTGAATCACCAACCTTGTGATTCAAACCATCTTTGTAGTCCAGTGTATTAACCCACAGTGCCACATCAGGACTCCATTTTGCATCAAGATACAGAAGCACAAATCAAAAGGACTTCAGTTTGACATTGTTGAAGCTGAATATTTGAGCAGAGAATAGCAGGAGATTCTCCTACAGAAAAAGGCAGAGGAATCCTTCATCAAAGATCCTTCTGTTATGTGGTATAAACCTCAATTTATTCTCCAGAATCTGTTCTCAAAGCATGGTCCTTGGACTAGTCATATTAATATCACCTAGGAACCTATAAGGAATAAAATTCCCACATCCCTTCCTAGAATTAGAAGCCCTGGGGGTAGGGCGTAGCATCTGTGTTTAACAAGCCCTCAGGTGATTCGGCTACCTCTTGAAACAGTTGAACATCAACCATTTCCTTTTGGTACAATGACTCTGTTGATTTCTTCTATCTTCTTTTGATGCTTTCTGCATCATTCAATAATTTGCCCAGAGAATCCTTCAGTGATGAAATTGAGGCTTGAATTTTTTTTTCTTCAGTTCCCCCAGCTTGAGAAATGTTGAGCGTGTTCTTCCCTTTTGGTTTTCTGACTCCAGATCTTTGGAGGGATCAGTCACTGGAGAAGGATATCATGTTTGGTAAGGCGGAGAGTCAGAGAAAAAGAGGAACACACCACCCCACCACCACAGCGAGATGGATTGGCAAAGTGGCAGCATCAATGGGCTCAAGTGTGGCAACAATTGTGAGATTGGCCCAGGATTGGGCAGTGTTTTGTTCTGTTGTGCATAGGGTAGCTATGAGTTGGTGCTGACTCAATGGCACCTAACAACAAGTGATTCTGCTGGTTGCTCAAGCTTGAGAATCAATGCTCTAGACAAAGAGGAATGCTGACATTAGGTCTTGGAGAATGAGCAAGCATTCATCGGGCAGACAAGGGAAAGAAGGGAAATCAGCAAAAGAAACAACAAATGCATCAAGATACCAAACTAACCCTCTGAAGCATTTTTAACTAGGATAAGACAATTCAATTCAGCTTGAGACAAGCTTCAAAGCCCACTTTCTTTCCGTTACTCCTCGCCATTTATGTCCTAATATACAGTAGAAAGAACTGTGGTCTTTCATTATTACCCAAATGTCTGTTGTCTGATTTAAAAGAATTTCATACAGCAAGTCTGTTCTCTTTTACCATTTGCAGTTCAAACCCACCATCTGCTCCTGGGAAACCCTATACAGGGTTGCTATGAGTCAGAACAGACTCGATGGCACTTAACAACAACAACAACCTATCTACAGAGCCTTGGTGGTGGCACTGTAGAAAAAGCACTGGGCTGCTAAGAGCAAGGTCAGCAGTTCAAGACCACCAGCCAGCCACTCTTGAACAGGGTTGGTATGAGTAGACACTGACTTGACAACACACAGCAAAAACGACCTAGCTACAAAAGTCCTAAAGTTCGGTTAGTATGTGACAATAAAAGGCACATGAGGTAGGGAGGCAGAAATGAGTGATGGATATATTAAGTCTTTCCCCAGAAAGCGGAGTAGGCTGATTTAAGAAGGTGCAGATTTTAATCACATGACAGGAAAAGTCTTCAATTTGAGCCTCGAACCCAATCCTCCGCAAGCTGCGAGAGACTGCTCTTTCCCTTACTTAATTTTCTTATTTCAAGGGTATCATTTTCCAAATGTTCTAAAATGAATTGACCTGAAGGCGGTGAAAGCTTACTTTGTAGTACCAGTCATCCATGTGTGAAAAATATTTTCACAGAAAAAGCAAGTGCAAGAAAATATTTTTACCACAATAAATTGCTGGTTCCACATTTCTTTGAAAAGGGGAGGAAAAAAAAAAACCTGTGAGTAATTAGTGATGTGCTTAAACTGCCAACCCAGCACCACTGAAACTTATCGGGTGCCAAATTATTTAGCTGAACAGTATTTAAATTAAAAACTAATGACTAGGTTAATTTAATACATGTTCATCTTTGCTCCAACTCTGTCTGTACTAATTGAGCTCCCAAACTATATTTTAAGCATGCATCCCAGTCAGTGAATGAAAACCATCTACTTGAATATAACAAGTCAGTTACCAATAACAACTTCTTTTAATCTAAGGTTTATTGTCGTTTTAGATGTTTAACTGTAAATTATTTACTGGACATTTTCACCCATGGGATGTGTGAAATATTGCACCACACAACATGCATAGGAAATATTCTCAATAAAATCAGTTACGTTAGGTCATTGGACTGCTTTATGTTCGAGTTACAAGGTTTATCAACATACCCACAGCATTTCTACAAACACTGAACTCAGCAGTATGATCTAGAGCTCTATCAATAGCTTTTAAAATCAATTCCCAAGTATTTTAATTCTAGCAGGGGATGACCCAAACACTTCTTCCTACTCATTCTCTAAATCTATACATTCTCGCTTTCTCCCAACTCAACAATCCATCTAGCATATAACCCTTTTATAAAGCTGCAAGAAATTATAATCATTTACAGATTTGGGGGGCAGGGGGAGTGTGGAGAATCAGTCCAAAAAAAGAAGTTATGGTAAAATTCCAAAGGCACATAGCTAAGCATGGTCTGGCAAACACATGACATACCTTTCTTTGCAGAGAGGGTATAGAACAGGCCACCCCTTCAGCTTCTGCAAACCATAAATGTCACAAACATTCTGAACCACCCACAGAGGACCAACCTAAATCTGTATGTGGGCTCCTCTACTCAATCCCACAACAGTCACTGAGCATAAAACACACAAAACAAAACCAAAAGGGGGAAAAGAAAAAAAAATCAAAACATTTTCACACTATAGCACAGAAGAAAACTTAATAAGCAAACACTTGTCCATAAAGGGTTGACAGCAAAAAAACCTCCCAGACACCAAATGAAAACAATATCTGAATGTGAACTTGGCACAAGAACAAACGGAATGAAGTTATGAAAGCTAGGATTTGGAAAGTGCCATAATCATTATAATAGCAGCAACTGTCCTGGATTCCCCTCATCAAAAAGAACCATAGAGGCAGGCGACCAGCCATCAATATCTGCATCTTACGGTATGTCCCAAGGGAAGTGGTGCAATGGAAAGAAATGGTGTAAGAGCCAGAATGCTTGATTGCTAGACCCATTTATGCCACAATCCAGTTATGGGACCTTGGGCATGTTGCTACATATGTGGAAGTTTCAAAAACCTAGATGGCATGAGGGCCCTTTTGGTTTAAGAATATATGATTCCAGATCTAGACTCTCATTATTACTGTTTTGGTATTAGTTTTTGGTTTTTGGTGAAAGGTGAGAAAAAAGAAGTTTAGAAGGCATTTTTCTCCATTTCAAGAATGTTACATGAAAGAAGTAGAAATAAAAACAGAATCATCTACAAGAAGCTTTGAAAGATGCAGAAGGAAATTTACAAGAAAATAGAGACGAAATTAATCAAATTTTCTTTCGTTGAACAAGTCCAATCTCCATCCCACTGCACATATCACCTCTACAACACCCCCAGCAGATAGTTTCCCAACCTCTTCTTGAATACTTCTAATCATAGGGAGTTTACTCCTTTACAAGATGACCATTCAATTACTAGAAATTAACTCTAAACATCTTTCTTCTACTGAGTGAACATCAGTTTCCTTCATAAACTCTGGCCCAGGGTATGCCCTCCAGCTTCACAAAATATGTTAACCCTTCTTCCTCAATCAGATCTTTAAATGGCTGAAAATAGCTACTCCATTCCAACTTTACCATCCATTCCCAAGCCAGGTTTAACACACACACTTCTTCCAACCAGTCCTCATCTGACATGGTTTCCAGAGCACTCATTGGTTGAGTCTTCCTGAGTTTGGTTCAGCAAAGCAACATTTAACATATGGCACCAAGAATGGAACACAATATTCCAAATGTGGTCTGACAATTAAATTTTTTTAAAAAAGAATATTTATTGAGTACCTTCTACA